AAACAAAACCGGTTACTTCGGATTAAACATTGGCTGTTTTGGTAAGTGACAAATGACGAAAAATATTATTTTGACCACTCATAAAATATATTTAGATTTTATTTATAGGTACCTCGGTGGAAATCTAGTCTAAGCAGTTGTAACAGAATAATCTAGTGAATTCTTGAGTTTTTAAAAATAGTTAAAAGGAATCGATAACCCTAGGGACCAGCTAAAGGAAAAGTATCTCTAAAGTTTTAATAGGACCTTTGAGATCAAATGCCAAGTTTCTTAAAAGAAAAAAACGGAAAGATATACTATTTTATTATTTTAGAATAAAAAGATAAAAATAGAGAATGACGCAGTGATTAAGTAAATATTGAACTAATGAAAATTTATGTTTAGTTGATATAAGATATTGCATGTAAAAGAAATCTGATCAAAATGGTTTAGACATTTATTTTTCTAATCACTCCAAACATACTTACATCAGTTAAACTTTATGGGAAATCCAGGTGTGCCCCTTCCCCACAATGAATCCCTCCCAGGGCCAATGGCTCAAAAACCTATTCACATTTTCTTAAAAACAGAGCAAGCTTTGGTAGATTTAGAAAAATAAATATAAAATCATATATCATATAAAATCATATAAAATTACACTTACTGCGATCTATTCCACGTTTTCCTCTTGTCATTTAGTATAGAACTTTTCAATATGAAAATTCATAAACCCCTCGAAATACGCTCCACTCAAAAACCCGCCAAAACATCCCCAATCAAATATTTCAATTTGCGCCATCAAACCACCCCTGAGGGAATTTTGATATAGCTGAAATGCCATTGTAACAATGAAAAGCAGTCACCAACAGTATCGTTTTGAGGACATATGTTCAATCTTAAACAATAAAGCCAAACCTTTATATTATATTATTAATTATATCACCACTGTCTAACCTTAATGCGACCTATAATGACAAAAAGATTTCCCACCTAGGGTATATATACTATGGTATATACCATGGTATGTACTAATAATTAGTTGGTCCTAAATATTTCATCCGGCTAGTGTTGGAAATTTTATTTATGTGATACTCTGATTACTTCTTGTAATTTTAACAGTTGAAGTATTTGTTAAAACCAGAGGTGCACATTCCTCTCTCCAGGTAGATTACGCGTACCACCTCCTAAAAAAATTATTGCTCACCTCTACTTAGAAGCGCGACTAATAAAAGTCAAATTATAGTTTTAGTTTTTTTCATATTTCATCCCATAAATATGTACCTCCCACAAACATCCAGATCATAAAAATGTGACCTCTCAAAAATGTTGATGACGCAAATTGCACCATGAAACCCTCTTCTGGACGCCTCTGGTTAGAACAAATATTGTTAAAATATTTTTAAAACAATCATATAATTTTTCAATAATACGTTCAGGATCATTTTAAAAAAACATACTACTGTTTGTCAATTGAGTACTTTCACGAATTTTCAATTTTTATTAGTGAGTGAAGCTTACAGGTTACGAAACGAAAAAAAAAACATAACTCCCAAAATTTCCTAGGATATATTTGCAAAGATAAATAGAATTTAAAAAAAGTGATGGGTAAACAGCTATGAAAGGACCTAACTTCCCCTTTGGATATCTTAAACTTTTTAGCTTAGAATTGTGTTTATAACTTCAAAATTTCTGCTCAAGAAATTCTTCTCGTTTTTTTACTCTCCCTGTTGTCTAAAAAAAAGATTTAAATGTTTTTTATAAGATTTTATAACTGCATGTTATAACGTGAAGCTGAGAGAGGTTTGATGGCATTGTGTTGACAACCGTATACGTCATGATACAGTGGACTTAGGCCCCACTACACCTCAGACTCACTAATATTTCAAGTTTTTAACCAAAAAATGAACCCTATTTTCATTATTTAAATGGTGCATATCATTCTTATATATGTTCTTTATCACTTAAATTCCAGTGTAACATAAATTTAGGCGATTGTTACACATGTAGTCCATTGAAACAATCAACGAAATTTTTAGAGTCAATATCAATTAATTTAAAATATTTATTTAATTTTCTTCATAAATTTAAACGAGACATTTGACTATTTTTGCTATCGATATAGAAGTCCTGTAATCACGCAAGCGTCTTTCGTCAAACAAAATTATTTTAACTAGATTATATGACGAGAAATATGAAGAAGTCAAGTAGTTTTATTCTGGGGTAGACGGTTCGTGAGACTGCTCGTGTGTCATATTGCTATATTTAAATATGAAATAAAATGCAACATCTATTAAATAAAATCCTTGCGAAGATTGAATATATAATTCATTTCCAAAATATAAATGTAATCTTTTTCATTTTTTATTAACCTTGATTTTTTAAATAAATAATTATATTAATGATGAAACATATTTTATAAATTTTTTATTACCAAAATATTGGCACTTATTTAGTTCATTAGATTAATAAAACAATATTTTTATATGAAATAAGTACAACAACATATTAACGTAACATATTGTAATTTTCATTTATGAAAAAATGTAATTTTTGTGATAACATATTCACGTCTATTGCTTCTAATCTATTTAAAATATTTCCGTGCTGAGCGAGAAATTTTAACACTAGTTATTGTAGTGCTAGGCAATAGAAATAGCGAAGAGGTAATGTAAATACTGATTGAAGTTCCATGAATATGTTCTAAAACATTTTTTATAGTTTTAATAACATTTAAATAACGTAATAAAACGTGAGAGGATAGAAATAAAAACTTATATAACGTTATTTTAAAGAATTTTGGTAATTCGACAAAGGAATTATTTAATTGGAATTAAATAGCCTATTGGTGAAATTTCAAGATCCACTGTTGTTCTTCGACAAATGAAGTTACGATTTTGCAATTATTTTCACGGACCAGAGGTGTCCAAAGGACATACCGTCATCATAATTTTAGGAAGAAAGGGAGGAACATTTTTGCGAACAGAACACAACATATGTGTTCCTAAATAATCTACAACCGTTTTATTTGCACCGTTTTTAGAAGAGGAAAGCAATGAAGTTTGAGAAGAACCTGCCATAGGCTATTCGGACCACGAACTTTTTTTTTTTTTTTTTTTTGTCTATAAAATATGTATTTGCGCCTGTCAACAATAAGTTTACAATCAGCAAATGTGATGGCGATAATGATAAAATGACATGACAGGCATGGGGAAGGAAAGTACTCAGCAGTACCTCTTTCCTAACTTGTTCCAATTACTTAGGTTGTCTAAGGAAGGAGATCCCTCATCCAACGCCTTTTTAGTCTCCTGCTCATGTTCTGAGGTATGTCAGCTGTGGCCATGTCTCTTATAAGACTGTTATTTAATAAATTGAGTTTTTTTAATTTAATATTTATAGGAACAATAATATATGTAAAAACTAAACGTACATGAAACCTTTTAATCATTTCATCAATGGAATAACAATGACGAATTTATTCGTTAAACGTATAAGAACTTGATACGTACGAATAAGATTTGGCAAATCAACCGAATCAAATTATCGTAGGCAAAACAACAAATTATCTTATATATTATTTCTGAATATATATTCCTTTTCCGGCTCTCAATAGTGATGGATTTTGACCAATGAGGTATCAATAGAAAGGGAATATCACGTAGAATACACAAATTGTAATTTTTATTCCTGATTTTATACCAGGATTTAAATAAAATTGAATGTACAAGTGGTAGGTTTAAAACCATGTGATGGTGCCGTCTTAACGAATCGATGCTTTATTTATTTAATTGCTTATTAAATTCCCTAAAAAAAAGTTTAAAAAATCATCAAAATCGGACGTTTTGGCGCAGAGTTATAGCGTTCTGGATATTTAATACTTGTTGTACTGTAAAGATTCGGTTGCATACGAGAAATTAAGATTTGGAATTGGCCCTTTAATATATTAAAATCAGATACAAATATCAGGTTTGTGCTGAATATTCGCACAGGTCAGCTGGTAGTACTTCTTTATAATGAAATATATTCTGCTACATTATGAAGAAATGTTTTTTTATTTCATTTTTTTTTTTACTTCACCTGGACAAACGTGTAACTTGGAATCCTCATACCAGACTGAAACGGCAAGAAACCTCTCGGTGTTTCCGATTACTTCAGCTCTTTGCTAGGCAAATGCTCTAAGCTTCCAATAAATTACAAAAGACTCATATAAATGACTATAATAAGGCCTATTTGGACTTATGGAGTTGAGCTATGAGGCTCTACTAAACCATCGAATTCCTCTCGTATCCTTACAATCCAAAATCCTTCGTAAAATCCTCAATGCTCCCTACTTTGTTACAAATAAAACTATTCATAATGACCTTAATGTTTCTTATTTTTCAGATCTGGCCCGATCTAGATAACTATCCTTCCATAGTAAACTTCTGAAAAGAAGATGGCTCCGTGATCTCCTAATGTAGACATCTCATTAGAGTGCTACCATTGGGTATTTTCTCAACAAGTGTTTTCACGTCATTGTATCCATATGTTCAAATTTATTACTTGTATTTCTTTAATACAGTTGTAAATATCATTAAGAAATAAAAAAAAAAAATAAAACTTATAATTTCTTTCTAGGTTTAACTTGAATAATTTTTTTTATTGATTAAATGCATTAAACAGTTGTGAACGTTTGTGTTGATCCTTTTGATTCTTTAAGATATTTTTAGTAAATATTAAAAAATAAATAAATAAATAATGGATTTTAATGTCTTATTAAATTGTTTAATTTTTTTTTCAGCCAAAAAATAATCACTGATTCTTCAAATTAAGAAATCTTCGACGAATCATCCTTTAGCAAAGGATTCAAATTCAAATTCAAAGTAAAATAAGATATTTTTTTCACCCTTTACTGATTAAAAAATTAAATGTACAAAAATCATCTGTTAATGTCTTTTCCTGATTTGTTGCAGCTTAGCTACGAATTTGCATCGCGGTGTTTGCAATTATGAAGGATGTTTACAATATTTCTTGTTCCCTCTTACCTTCCTTGCTGCTATGATCCTGATGTTAGCCCTCACTATTCAAACACACACACGGACACAGAACCGCACCTTCCGCTCACCTGACATAGACTAAGAATCAGGCAGTAGTTGAACTAACTATAGACCGTAAGTGTCCTGGCACGAACACTGGCCGCTCCTGTTGACTAGCCAATATAATGTTATCGACAGTTCGGACTCATGGTGGATGCTTTCAATCCGTGGTACTCAGCTAGGAGGATGCATATTTTGCAGTGGTTGAAAGGCGGAAAAAAATCTTTTTTTTTTTTTTTAAACGTATAGGAAAAAATAATTTAATTTTTACCTGATTTGTTGAATATAACTTTTAATTTTTTTCTTTTATTTGCATTTTCATCTTATAATAGCCCGTGGTAAAGACCTCTGTTTTTGTAGGCCATGTTTTTTCCTAGTTTTTTGATCAAGTTATCTTACCATCCAAGTGGAAAGCAAATGGGTATTTACGAGTTTTTAGTTCCTAATTAAATAGACAAAGTTTGCCGATCCCCAGATTAAAAAGGCCCCAATTCCAAGAGTTTTCGTAAATAAAATAGTTGTTGGTTACGATGAGATGAAGGTATTCACGAAGTTTCAGAGGGATGTTAATAATTTGATAAAAAGGTGTCTCTACCACGGACTATATGTCATCCTTAAAAATTAAACATTTTAAAAATACCAATTTTTAATATTTAAAGATATTCATATTTATAATATTTTTTAAATAAAAATATTGGTGAGGTGATGTGAATAAAACTAAGTGGAACATCCATTTTTAAATGTTATTAAAAATAATTCGGAGAACAAAGAAAAAACCCACGTGAGAAAGGACGCAGTGCCAAGAATCTGCCAATTCTGGAAGATGATTAACGAAGCTATTGGTTAACCTCCTGGTAGGTGATACATATATTTAATTCTTATATATCAAGCATTGCTCCACTAGTGTATGTACTTCAATTTTTAAATAGTTGATACTTTTGCTTAACATAGATCCATTTCTTTATTACCGCAAAAGTAGAAGCAAAAACGAATGTTATGTTTTAGATTTCACCGCTTATAGATATGTAACGATTTTTCGAGTGAACGGCTTGACCAATTTTTATGTGTGATAGGCTAAATCATTCAGAGAGATCCCGTGGGTCTCTCGGAACAATTTTATATAAAAATACACAAAATTGTTTTACATCTAAATTATTGTCGAAATTGTTGGTTGGTCCGTGAATCATATGTATGTTCCTGATCATGTGTGATGAATGCATAATGCCAATACTTGAATAGCTATAATAGTTAAAATAAAAAAATAATTTAATAATTATAATAATAATAATAAAGAAAAGACTATAGAAGTAATTCTATTTTATTTGTATGTTGTATTGACTTGGTAAATTTTTAAAGGAAATTATGTTCAAGAATATTTAAAATTGGTGTAGTATTCGTTTGACTTCCACTACACTTTACGCCTTGATACAAGCGTATCGTTGTATGGGTGAATATCAATATCCAATATCCTTTCGTTCGGAGGAGAAAGATACTCCATCACTACACCGCCTTCAAATATTTGTAAACGTTAGTTATATGCCCTTAGGATGCATATGGTCATTTCTTTGATTGTTTTTAAAATTTAATATAATTTTATTTACTAACGTTTTTTTCGAAACTATAAAAATGTACCATAAAAGATTCAAAGCATGGTTTATTAATTACAAGTCTATTCATGATCGATACAATGTTCAGATAATCTGGACTCGTACGATGACAAAACTCTTATCTCAGCATTTAAAATGCTCACTAGTTTTATGTTTGGTTTCAGCGAAAAATACTTGTTTTTTCAATAGTTCCGAACCACGTACGGATGAGCCACTTATAGTGTTTCCCAAAATAGGTCTTGGTCTTGCACAATGCAAGAGCAAGACCAACACCGCCTAACTGTAGCATGGCGAAGACCAAGACTGGTGAAAAAAATCGACTTCTTAAATAAAAATTAAGGTAATGTAGTTACTAATACTTAATAGTTACTATATGTAAACAATTGGTATAACCAATATACTATTGCATTTAACTCTTCTATTTTTTCCTTCGGCCTTAGTTAGGTTCCTCCTATCTAAAAAATTACAGTAATATCTCGAGAGTAATAAGCTGATAGGTAACTGCAAGACTGTAGCGAGACACTTACGCAAGACCAAAACTCGTCTTAGTCTTGCATTTGGGTAACACTAGCGATTAATCCTAGAATTTTAAAGTCATAATTTGAGTAATCACTAATATTTTACTGAATAGGATGATTTTGTAAGATTTATTATTCTATTTTTCTACCTACACTGCCTTTAAGACAGTACGGGAGTTTGCAGCAGTTACTTGATACACATTTTGCAAAACAAATGACTGTTGCAAGTTTATCTTTTTACATTGCTGTGCGCACAGCCTGCTTGATAATTATTCTCTTATTTTATCTTCCTCCATCGTCTTCTCCTGTCCTAATCAGCGGCCTTACAGGTACTCTTTCTTCACGCATATCCAGGGAGCAGTGTGTTGGGCCCAAATTTTTTTTCTACCAGCATACAAAACTTTTAAAGTGCGGGTAGTTTTGTTGAGACATCAGTTGGGGTAATTGTATTTCTGTTAAAACGTAAAGCTCTGTATCCCTCATTAATTTGGCCCTCAATACCTCATAGCTGGTGCAGGCTACAACGATGTGCTCAGCGGTTTCAGGTACTCCACAAGTGGGGCATAAGGGATCGATGTTTTCACCATGTTTAAAAAGTTAAAAAGATTTTGTAAGATTTTGTCAATTTAGTATTATCATATTGGTACTATGTATCCCCATCCCCCGCTAGGTTGATGGCGCATGAACCTAACCTACCTCCAAAAATATTTTATTGCTTGCTTCTTCTTAAAAACAATGCAAGTAAGAGTAGATTTGGAAAATTACTTGCTGTGGCCTTTTCCATATTTTCCTCTAGTCCTCCGCTTTAAAACATTTTTTTCGGAAAATTCATAACTACGGCGAAATATGACTCTTCAAAAATTTTGAATGAAACTCCTTTCTGTGCACCTCTTGATGGAACCGAAATAACAACGACTCAACTTTTATGTTATTTTATTTTTTATTTATTCATGAAATTTACAACTGTACAAATTAAATATAAATCTAGTAAATGTGTGCAGAGAGATACAATAGCATGAAAAGAATTGTAGAGAATCTACTCATTGGTAGCACTCTAATTATAGATAAAGTATCTATAATAGAAGATTACGAGACTATCTTCTTTTCAAACGCATAGGTGGTTATCAGGGATCGAAGAGGAAGCAAGGTTATAAACAAGAGGATTAGGATGGTTCTGAAGTTTATTGTGAAAAGGTAGGTATGTGGATTGGGCCAAATCGGAAACATATGGAACTTTAAGATCGTTATGGATGATTTTACTTGTGACAAAGTACGGAGCATTGAGGATTTTACGAAGGATTTTGGATTGTACGGATAGGATACGAGAGGAATTTGATGGCTTAGTGGAGTCCAAAAGCTTAACTCCATGTAGGACTCAATTAAAATGGAGAACTAAAAAAAATAATTACGTAATGTGAAACTACACAGTGTCATTCAGTATCTTCATAATGGGTCTTTGTGTTTGGTTTCATAAAGTTGGATGGATTCGATAAAACACGCTGCCTACTGTAAACCATTCTCAAGGACCGAGAAGACGTCTTATAGGCTGGCAAGTTTTCCTAACGGTCGTTAGTAGTTGTTTATTTGATGTTTTAGCAATCAACCGTTTTCATCGAGAATATATCTCATCTCTCCCTATAACGGACACCAACAGGTGAGTGGGAACGATACTATTTATTAGAGCAGAGCGCGTGGGTGAAAGGGGGAGCATTGGGTCACCTCCCGAAGCCAAACTCTTGTGTCGACTAATTGATCGTTGGACCTGTGTCAATTGGGTGACGGTTATGGAGCCTTGGCACCCACCAGGATCTTCGCCGCGCTCCGTCATATTACATCATATTAAAATCCTCCCACCAATCATCTTCGGCTTAATGGTGTGTTGATAGGTTGTACGGTATCGAAGTTGCGTTATAGGATCATGGGTCATTTCAGGGTAGACAAAGAATATATTTCTTACATCTTATAAGTTTAAAGTATTTATAATATTAAGTTAAAACTGTTAGGAAAGTATCAAAAACTTTATATTCCAATTTCGAATATGTTATATATATACAAACTAAAAAAGATTCGGATAGTAAAGGAACTGATAAAATTACATTATTTAAAAAATAAGAAGCGAATTGAAGCGAAGTTATGTTTATGTTAATGTATCAACACTGTCATCACCACATATGCCGATGACACATGTATCCTATCAGTAAACAATGACTCAGCGATTGCATCCCAAATGCTTCAATCACACATCAAAAATCTAGAAGAATGGTGTCAAAACTGGAGAATTAAAATAAACTCCAATAAATCCCACCAAATTACCTTTACCCTTCGTCGTAAACCAACGACTTCCTGTCCTACAGTTTCCTTTAACAATACACCACTTATCCCTGTTGATCAAATCCGATACCTAGGACTCCACCTGGACAAACGACTAACCTGGAATCCTCATACTAGACTGAAACGACAAGAAACCGCTCGACGTTTCCGATTACTTCAGCACTTACTAGACAAACGCTCTAAACTTCCCATTAATTACAAAAGACTCATATACTTGACTATAATAAGACCTATTTGGACTTACTGAGTTGAACTATGGGGCTCCACTAAACCATCGAATTCCTCTCGCATCTAATCCTTACAATCCAAAATCCTTCGTAAAATCCTCAATGCTCCTTACTTTGTCACTAATAAAATTATCCATAAAGATCTTAATGTTCCTTATATTTCAGATCTGGCCCAATCCAGATACCTATCCTTCCATAATAAACCTCATAATCATCCCAACCCTCTCGTTTCTAACCTTGCTTCCTATTCAATTCCTGATAACCCTCCGAGGTGTCTGAAAAGAAGATGGCCCCGTGATCTCCTAATGTAGTCTTAACATTAGAGTGCTACTATTGGGTAGTTACTCAGCAAGTGTATTCATGTCATTATATCTATTATGTCCAAATTTACTTGATGTATTTATGT